GTAACGCACGTGGGAGTGACAACAACAAAAAAGACCAGCTCGTTGAACTCTCGATCACTGTCTCTTTGCATCGGCGCTGACGTCATAGATGGGCGGCGAATAATTATGTTCCCGCTGCAAGCGAGTGATGCCGCAGCTCAATCAATTTTCCGCATTGCAGGTCAGGGGGTCATCCTAGATTTGCTGAAAGTTGCCGTTTGGAATGCTGTTCTGCCTCTTCGCCTGCCGTGGCTGTGTATCTGCAGATGCACGGCATCACCCTGGGCACGTACTGTGGAATTTCCACGACTGCTTCAAGAACGAGCAGTTGCTCAAGCTGCCCAAGATAGACAGCTGAGAACGCAAACATCTCCACGGCATAAAGCCTGATTACAGATATGTTGATCAGGCTGCATGCACGTTGGATGATACATGATCGGCACGCCTTTCCATCAACGTACATGCGACAGATGCATCAGACCGATCGCTGGAATTCCGACCAATCTGGAGACAATGCTTCACCCGACGCGCCTGTTCTCAACACAACTGGTGAGCTAGAGAACGTACTTACATACGAAGTTGTTGACCCCGTGTTCGGTACGTGCCTCGCCGCGTCGCGATTAGACGATGATTGCTACGTTGGAAGTGCATTTGAAATAATCGATTGAGACACCAGTGCTTAACGTCATATCGCGGCAAGATTGGCAAGCATACTGGCATACATACTGGCATACATACTGGCATACATACTGGCACACATACTGGCATACATACTGGCATGTCGAAAGCCTTCACATCACAGTTTTGTGTGCCTTTCTTTTGACCTTTTTTAATGTGCCATTCCCGCAACTTTCAAAATATTGCTGATGCAAGTAATGCCCTGGCAGTATGTGGGCACGATTACCATAATCACTAGTTCCGTCACTCGTTACTCCTCTAATTAAGAATACTTCCGTGTTTCTCTACTCCGCTACTGTACAGCAAATGTGAAGGGAAGTTTTTTCAGTCCGTTACGCCGCTACTTTTTCAAACCATTTGAAAGGGCAGAAAATCGTTTTGCACGTTCCACAAGTCAGTTGTATTCTCATGTAGCGATATGCAGTGCGAAGCTTTTGTGAAACTGCAAATCGCCCGCATGTCACCATGCGCTTTTTGAAAAAGTTTCTCATTTATTGCATGGAAGGCAAAGGATGTAACCACACCTCTGAGATTGGGGGAGGACGATCAGGATTGGGGAGGTCAGACTGGGACCGGGTGAGGGGGACAACCTGACCTGAAAATAGGATTTGTAATGGACAATCACAATAGATGTGCATTATATATGCAATATTGAACGACACGAAGGCCTGCTTGGGCACCTTGGGGGCATGTCACCCCTATCGCCCAGTGCTAACATGCGTACTGGAATATGCTTCACATGCGTTCAAAGCGTACAGTTCTTGGTCCGTAAAATCCCCGCCTCAGTGATGAGATACACGTAAACATGCATACAATGCACAAAAAATACATATATAGCGCGTACAAACACCACCATCATGGCCGCCGACTCAGCCGCCGGTGGCGGGCTGGCCGTGGTGACGACGGTGGCGATGGCGGCGGCGGCGGCGGCACGGTAGGGCAAAGAGGGGCGTTTTTGGCACATACTGCCAGCTAAATTTTTTCTTTGATCTGCGTCCCCCGGATACGATGGCTGCGTAAAACACGTCATTGGGTTTATAGCCGCTTGCATGATTACGTTACGTTCACAATACCAGGAAAAATACGCATAGTTCATGTTGAATAAGCTGTCAAGGGTGTAGTCTCCATTCATTTGGGGGCTTCAGCCTCCCTCCCCAACTTGGACTCGCCCAGCTCTGCGGAGAAAGTGGACCAAATCTGACAGAAATCCGCTTGTTGGTGTATTTTGGAGGCAGGTTATCATTTTTTCACTGATCAGTCCCCCTATCCCCAACACATTTGCGAAACTACGCGTCCCCCAGCTATGTTGTTTGGTTGGAAAGAAATCATGGTTCAAATCATTCTCAGAGAGAAATGAACCCAAACAGGCTGGGAAACCTATGTTTTTTTAGGTGCGAGAACGTAGAAGTCCCCTCGCTGGTGTTTTTTGCATAATCGAAACGAAGCGTTGTCGCGAAGTTCAACATCGTAACCTTTGCGCCACAATATGTCGTATCTAATGCTTTCAGAATTTGACAGTACAAGATGTACCAAGATATACCATGTCATCTTGTCGATGTCATTCTTCCTTAACGTTTGCGTCTTGCTTAAGACCAAACCTAACGTAGCAACAAAGTAACAAACTAAATTGCAATCGAGTAACGGGACGTACGAGTGACGGATGTCACTCGATCCGGTTATTTCCTAGTAACTAGTCAATTAATCCAATGCCATGGGATAGTTCCGTTATGTAACGAAGTAACTCAGTCAGGCACCGTACACACGTGTCGTCATAGCCATGCATCGCCATGCATAGCCCGGGACATTTTAGGGACTGGGAACTAAGCGGAATTCAAGACATTTTGGCAACGCTCTCTCCGAGCACGGACAGCATAATGCTCCAGTGTACCAAAAGTGCATGGGGGCCTCATAGCCAGATAATGTCCTGTCCCTCGCATTCTGCACGCCTCTGCGTCAGATACGTACAGCGTTCATAAGCTCTTCGGCGGGAACATGCCTCGCGCCACGCGAAATCGGCCGAATGCGACTCTTGGCACATCGCGCTAGTTCCGCTCCGGCGCCGCCGCTTGTTGACGTCAAGGCACCTCCACGCGCGACGCCTGGTCAAGGGCCGCACCAGCGGCGGCTGGGCCCATGGCCCTGTCACGGACGAATCGCCCCGGGGTGCGTAACCGGCGCGGTATTTGACCGCCGGTTGGGCAACGGTCGGCGGGCCGCGGCGGGCACCACAGGCGCACGTGAGGGGCACCCGAGCGCGGCGGCGGGGGACGTGCGTGGCGTGACGCACAGCCAGCCAACTGGACGCAACGTCATCAGCCGATCTCGACAGGTCGCGCCGAACGACGCCAAAAAGCGCGGTGGCGCAAGCGCGCGCCACAAAAGCGCGTCACGGCCCCTGTGCATCATAACAGAGTCGTGGGCGGCGTCATTGTTCGCGTTACACGGCGGGCGGGCGCCGGCCGCGTTTTTCGGAGGTTTGCTCTGGTCACATGCGCAAGCAGGGTGGCAGTATGCGACTCCATTAGCGGTTTGCTCCTGCAGTCGGCGCAATCGTCGGCGCCAGAGTTCTCATCCGCGTCCCCCTTGCTGTTTCGGGCTGCGCCGATGTCGCGATGCTGCGGCTTGGCCCAACGGGACGCAGTCTCGATCATGGTCTTAATGCACCGATCAACAGTGGGAATCGGGACATTGGTTACGGCGGAGAAACGCGCATTAGTGTCCACGCGTCAAGACTATTTCGCGTTTTACGACCAGCGCCGCCGTCTATATCGTCCGCCGGCGACAGTGATCGTACAGAGCTGGCTAGCGCGGCGGGTCGCTTCTTCCCGACCTTACCGGAAAAGTAAACACTGAGATTCAGCTCAAGCCGAGGCGAGTGGCATCACCAATCAGCGCACGACAATCATCGTTGTGGGACCTTGCTGATCGCCACATGTGACGCCGTGCATTCTAAACAGACATGCTGCATTTATGCGGGAACTGCGAGTTACAACGCTGGGTCTCAAGCTGAGTAAGACACGTCCGTGCCACCACCGAGGCCTCCATGGGGAAGGGACGTCCTCCATGGGGAACGCTGTCCCTGAGGCATCTGAGATGCGTGATGTGACGTCACCGGTAAGTACGTCGCGCACGCTGGGGAGAACGCGAAAAGTCCAAATGTGGGCAGAAAGCACAATGAGTTGCAGCTGACTGCGGCGGCGACGCTGCAGGTAAGCCACGTTGGCCCATAACAGATCGGAGGGAATTAGCGAAAACAGGGGATCAGCTTCCAACGACCACCGGAGAATGGACTACGTGTCCCGTGACTGGGGACCAGAGAGGAAACAAGCCTTCCCAGCTTTGTGGAGTTCAACATTGCACCTAGGGGAGTCGCAAGCACCGAAATGACTTGCGCCCCCCCCCCCCCCGTAGCCGTTTGACCCACAGCGGAGCTCCTGTTACATGAGTCCTGGCTTCTTGCGGAGGTCACATTTCAGCCACGGGTGTTTTGCGGTCACATTTCAGACGTTACCGTCTGCTTCCTTCATAACTTCAAAAAAGCCGCTATTCCGCCGCCCAACCGTTCGAGAATTGGTCTCCTGTACTTCACATTACTTTTGCATAGTATGTCAAGATCAGAGCTCCGGAGGACATTTACTCCACAGGGCGGAGTTCAGGACGATTTTACAGGTAAGTAGCACGAATGCGAAGGTACCGTTTACGGTTCCTCAGGTATAACCGGCCTATGTATCACTGACGCAAGCTTCTCATTTCATATTCGTTAGGCGGAGGGGAGGGGGCAGATGCTTCGAACTCAGCTTCGAAAGAAAATGGGTTAAACCTGTCACAGCAAGAAACATCCCCTGCATTGACACAGATTGTGACTAGACCTTTCGCACCAAGACTGATCACATTAAGACGTTGTATGATATTTGAGAATCGACTGCTGCCGATCCGGGAGCAATGGGGAGGGATGATATACCTAAGAACCGACAGCGCGGCAAAGTGCTCGCATTCCCCCCCCCCCCTTCACACACACACACGCATGCGCGAATGAGCCCTCCAAACACTCCCGCCCGAAGCCTGTGATGAAGAGGATTACGAACTCCACTGAAGCATGCTCCACCGAAGGCGACCACTTTATTCCGGACATCCGGTAGCTCAAATCTGGCTTTCCCTTTCCAACAAGGTATTCTTTACCATTATATGTTCCTGCTCGGCGTATTTTAGTGCCTAACAAACGCACTCTAATTCATACATGCAACGATGGATGGGGAGGTCAGCATGACCATCCATGAGCATAAAACTTGTTCCAATACCGTGCTTTTCTGCCTTCGAACTGCGCTGCCGCCATAAAAATGACCGACCATTTTCCATGTTTATCAGACGTGGTCACACATTCAACTAACAGCACGCCCTGTTCATTCTAACACACTCCAAAAACACGAACATATCGCTCTCCCACTCTCTCGTCCGTGCAACTCGCCAGCCGTAATGTTATCAAAACATCCGCAGTCGGAGCATCCCCAAACCGACAGTCCACAGCGCCCGGCATGGCGCAGATCGTTACACTTTCATGCCGCAGCGCGTGCTCCACAGAGCATGCCATCGAGAAGACCGGCGATCGCTGCGCAGCAGCCGGTACCAGTCACTAACTGCACTTGGAGGTCCACCGCCGTCGAGATCAGCGAGACGCACGTGACACACCAGTACGACACGACACGGCAGCGCCGGCCGCCCCGGGGTCGCAGTCGACTGTTGTCCAGGTGGCGCCACGGGCAGGCCGTCAGATGGCGCTGGTGTCATTGTGGCCGTCGCCGGTAGAGGATGTTTAGGTACTTGCCGCGCCGCATCTCCTTGGCCTCCTCTAGGCCGAGCAGGTAGGCGACGTTCTGCAGCTGCTTGACGACCTCGATCATCTGCGTCGGGCTCAGGCCGGCGTATTCTAGTGGAAAGGCACATACAACATCAAACCCCCTGTAACGAGGCTGATCAGTCGCGAAACCATCGCGAGATGTCCGACACGGTGCGATAATGAAAACATCCCGCGCGACCATGCACCATTTCCATGGTATCACCATCCCATGTTTTTTTATTGTCCAACGAACTAAAAACAGCACGATGCGGTTTTCGTTACGGGGAAAAATACGTAATCAGCGTATTTTAGATTACCTTGTAGCGCGGCATGTATGTCTGATCCTTGGGCTTCATACGGATATTTTTTGACAAATTTCTTATGCGGTTGGGCGCAAAATGACCACTGCAGTCGACGCGCCCGAAAACTCCAATGAACAACAACAACTTATGCGTTTATTTATTTATTACACCGAAGTGGACCATCTACGCGACATGTAATTCTTCTCAGCGCAGCGAAATAAAATATAAAAAGTACATGGGTTGAACAGCCCAGTCATCCCATTACTCCCCAAGTACCTGCGATGAAGAAAGTAGAACCTCGTTACAAGCTACAAAACTATGCGCGAACAGATGTAAAGCGGACAATAACATAGTCAAAGATAGAGAAGTCGCAAAGTTTGAGGTGTGATAGTAAGCTGGGCTACAGTCATATTTGAAGTCTTCAAGTTCTTTAAGAAAATTATTATGCAGGCAGGGAACAGCGGAGCAAAATAGCCGCGCGTGCCAGCCTGGGAGCGGATGCGTAGTAGGTGACGACAATCGCCCTTGCGTGTGCGCATAACGGAAAATCCGTATTATTGTCGAAAAGTAGGACAAGAGACGATGGTTCACCCCACCTGCGGACACTATGGGCAAGTACCGGGGAACTACAAACAAATAACAGCGTTGAGGCAACCCAGCCTGGTCCTCCAAAGAACATCAGGTATGAGATTCAATCGTCGCATTCCGGTCACGACCCGTGCAAAACAATTGATCAGCCTTCGAAGCCGCGCGTGGCTGCAGGGATGCAGCATCATACGCCGGGAGGACTAGGCTGTATATCATTTTCGAAATCACACCTTGAGGAAAATATGCCGAAGATAACACTGCATGCTGAATATCAAATGACCCCATCATTTTCCCGAAGCATTTCTTTAACATGTGCTACATGGGTGCCCACGCCATGCACGGGTCGAAAATTGCTCCCAGCTTTCGCCTCGTAACTTCAGGGCTGATAATATCTCCATGGAGACTGAGGTCGACTGCGGGAGTATCACTGACGTTTACCGGATGCTGAACACATTGAACTGAATTTTCGCTGGGTTGAGTAGTCACATGTCAGCTCTGAACCATAGCTCCACTGAGGACAAAAACGTTTCAGGCGATCAGCCAGGGCAACTACGCTAGCTTTTCCCTGACCAACACAATCTACATGCCGGCGTTTTTGTTTTGTTTCTTTTTTTGGTGTCGGCGTATTGAACGACCCAGGCGCAAAGTGGCTCAAACCGCCAGCGAACACGCTGGACGGCAACGGCCTCCTGGCAGAGCCCTGGAAAACATCACTGCTGTTCTGCAGCGGACGAGACAGGTAGCTGCGCCCGGAGGAGGGACCCACGACAAAATTCCTTCGGGTACGGTCCCTGAAGAAAATTGGAACCATTCATCGTCAGCTCGGCGCAGCTCCAATTTGATCAGTAGCTGAGCACGATCAATTAAGTCGAAAGATTTGCTTATGTAAATAAACAGATGTGTGATCTATCCCCTTCCTATTGACGGCATGTGGTTAGATATTTTAACTAGTGCATTCCGGCCCGATGGCGCTGCCTGAAGCCGTGACGGGCACGGGAGAGAAGGTTATCTTGAGAAAGGCATGCGTTAGGCTAGTAGTGGTGTTGTTCACACTAGGCAGGCTGCTAGATATGTTTGACCACGACAGGGCCTAAGGAGTTGGCTCTGAAGTTGGCGGGACTGGAACAAGAACCTTATTTGTGGATTGCTTGGACGATGGCGGACTTCCTGGCGTCTGACAACTCACCGCTGCCGCAGGTGTCGGCCATGTTTAGCAGCGGTACACCAATCAGATCAAAGCACAGTTAAGAGGTGCATATGCACAGCCCGCCAGCACGGCAGCCTGGGATGCTCCGTGCGCCACTGACCGCTCGTCTCAGAGTTGAATTTCCGAGCCAATACGGGGCAACCGGCAACTGAAATCATCGGGCGTTGCTCCCCGCGTGCGACACGCGGTCCTACCACTACAAAAAGTTCAATGAGTTTATCAGCGGCCGCCGCCTGCGTGACCGCTGATACGCGTTTGCCTGCCGCCGCCGATAGCCTGGAGGACGCTCCGATAAACGGAGGTCGCACCCCGCCTGACAACGCGCCGGCCGGCCGTCATCTCGCGCGTCTGGGCGTGTCGCGGGCCTCGCGGCGCGTATCAAGGCGTGCTAACAGTCCGCACCGCCGCCGACCGACGAGCTCCGTGGGCTACACGCCGCGGATATGTCACGCCGATGACGACGTTTGGGGTTTGGGTTCGCGGGCGCCTCGATTTCAGCGGTCATTTGCGACATGCGAGGTCACGTCACATGCAAGGTCAAGGTCACGAGTTCCATGATAAACATGTCTGGGTTTCTGATCGCTACTCGTAGAGGACAGATAGAGGACAGGTGCATGTGGGTAGAGGACAGGGGAAGAATCCTGAGAGTGCTACCACTGGTCAGAGATGTGTCTCCCCGCGCAAGGATTGTCAGTCCACCGGGCTTACGCTGACCAACAGTTCCGGGACACCCACCGCTTGAAATTCCACACCGACAGGCCACAATAGCGGGTTTAGACCGAGAGATGCCGGGGATAGACAACACCGCGACTACAAACCGGCGTGGGATGAAATCACTTGCCCGGACACTGAACCTGTTAATCACATCGCGATCATTCACGATGACGGAAGCGAGCGGCGATCCAGCGGCATCTACGGGCATAGTGACGGCCCGGGGCATTGACTGTGCGTGCGGAAAGTTACGTTTTTCTAAATCAGCCCGACTTGACCACCAAAATGTCACAGCATAGATCACCATTCACCACGACTTCCGAACAGCGAAATCTAAGCGTAACATGTGAGACGTGCGCCCCATCGTGTCAAAATCAGCCCCCAGAGCTGCCACTGGACGCCGCCGCGGTGGGCACACTCCTGCCAGTGCGAACTGACGGCCTCTCTTCCCAGTCCTGACGTATAAACCAGGGGGATCAAAGCCTGCTGGCCGGGTTCGTCACTGATGAGGCAGCGAGAAAACAGTCCCGCCAATCCCTTCACGGCGCAACAGCGCTGCTATCAACTCACAGCTCCACACCCACTGTCATTCTCGGGGCTCGGTGAGCCCGGCACCCAGCGAAACTCGGCGGCCATACCGGTGCGTTCGGCTGCAGCCAGGCTTCGGTGACAGGCAGCAGGGAGCATCGCCAGGATGAACGCAAAGGGCCACTTATGCTCTGGGGAGGGGTAAACTGGTGCTCGTAAGAGGGAGAGGACGTTCATTTGGGAGACCAAGCACTTCAGATTATGGAGAAAAGGGCAAAGAAAGTTTCCGTGGGAGATCATCACCAACAGTTCCAACACAATCCACGTGCACAGCACTGACTGAAAATAACATTTAAATTCAGCAGCCTCCCATGGAGCGCTCATTGGTTCGTGTTGGCCATTTCAAGGTTAATACGTGGTTAACACGCGCCCCGCCAGGAGGTCGATTTGAGCCCCCTCCCCCGGAAGGTTTTCCGAAATGGTTTCCGAACGGCGTGGCATAGCTATGCCAAATTTTGCATAGATATAGACAAATGAATAGCAGACCGCTTGGTGTCAAAAATTTCGATGTGCCTCGTAAGGTTGGTGACCTATGGCAGGCCAAAGTCAGGCCATGGATTATGCCAAGACGATTTCTAGGGAATCGTTCAATAGAATGCAACAGCGGAATGTTAGACGAAGTCACACACCTCTGAGACAGTTTCTTCGGCAACACAATGATTGAATCAACAAATCCCATTGACCTGGGGTCGGATGTGAAGGTCAGATCGAGGTCAAAATCAACCTGTGTTTTATTCATTAAGCTTACTGTGTGGGGTAGTTTCTGGTGCTCATTTTGAATTTATTGATAACAGGAATCGCATTATACAACCTCCATGGACTTCTTAAAGGTAACATTAGGTTACTGACCTAAAAGAACCCAGATCAGCATTTTATTTATGGGAACATATTGCATAGCGTGTCTTGACACTTATTCAAATACAAAAATCCAAGCAGTTTTGAATGATTTTGGTCCCCACGCCCTTTGAAAGGTCAAACAGGGCCACTGACCTGACATGTGTACCAGCGACCTTTTGATTAGAACAGGTATCTAGGTTCACAGTGGTTGCGTAAGAAGGTCTGGGGCACTTTGGACACTGGTCTGGAGTTTGACTTTCCTTGACCCTATTTGACCCTAGAGTCATGATCTAGGAATCTCAAATTTGACGCAAGTGAGTTGACGTACGGACTAACACGCACGGTGAATTTGGTATCTCCAGATCCCTTAGTTACTGAGATCTCAGAGGGGTCAAATTGTCCCCTCCACATCCGAGCGAGGGGCATTCAACAAGCCACCCGGGCGCGTGTAAAGATTACGAAGAATGGGAGCCTCAACGACTCATGGAATGAGCATGGACTCAGCCGCCGTGAGACCGTCCCAAAAGTTATGACCACAGTCACTACGGCTATTCTTGGCACGTACCAACCACCTGATGAAAGTCCAAGGAGATTTTATCATTGTCAATGAACACTTACAAGTCCCGTACGTGTTCAATGACCACTTCGTTACGTATCCAGGTACTGCGACACCCGGGCGTAATCGGCTTGACAACCCTGAACCAAAGCCGAGTTAGAATTTGGGGAACGAGCATTAAAAAAGTACGCATGAATTTACGCTGTGTGCCATCGGATGCAGAAATCAATAGAAGAACTAAATTTCTGATCGTGACACGCCTGCCCCAGGCATAACACTCCCACGCCTGAACTTCAACACCAAATCCACCGCGATCAATGCTTAGAACGCGGCGCACAGAACGCAATACTAGCCGATTCTAATCATTGGGGGCCAGATTCTGAGGAAAACATCACAGTGGTAGACACCTTGGGGTTCAAAGGTTGCGTCACGGCATCCGGAAACGTGGCACATGAAAAGGCGCCTTCTAGGCACGGCTACCCGGTTCCTGCGCATTGGCCAGCCGCCTCGTCACACGGCCGTAGAGAGGCCTGCGCATAGCAGGGGGCCTTCTACGGCGTGTTCGCAGCGACCCGGACAACAAAGACTCTATGCCGTCGACCTTATGCCCATAGGTTCTGCACCATTTGGTGCTCGCAGTGACCCAAACGCCGAAGATTCTACGTAGCGTTACGTAGGTTTGCCGGACACGCAAAATGTTTTTGGCACGACCCGATCGCAGTGACACATGAATGGCGTAACAGAGTTAATTAAAAATACCAATTTCCGTGCCCAGGATCGACCACGAGTCATAACAAGGTGTTTTGTACGTTACAAGAGCGCAATTTGCTGCTTCCATCCTTAGAAACACCCATAGTACATGGAAACGACAGTCTCGTGTCCTTGCATGCGCAGTTGTTGGGGCGCGTTGTTGTCACGACAGCAAAGCGCATGTCAACAGAAAATGACTCGCGCTGCGAACACAGGACGGCAAAGACTATACGTGACGTCACGTAGAACAGAATATTCTCGGCGCGATGCGAATACACCCTCGGATGATGTCCATGGGAGAGCTTCACTGACCGTGGAAGAGCTTCATGTCCTGCGGGGTGAAGTCCTGATCGGTGACGGTCTCGGGAGAGGTGACGGTCGAGACTCCGGTGGTGCCGCCCTGCGACAGCAGCTCGGCGCAGGCGGCGTCTGACGGGAGACGACGACGAGCGTCTGACGTTATTCACTTCCCGGGTAGCCGTCACACGACTGACGTCACTCCCGTCCCCGGTAGCAGTCAAACGTCTGACGTCACTCACGTCCACAGCAGCAGTCCCAGGACTGACGTCATTCACGTCACGGCATCTGTCGCACGTCTGACGTCACTCACGTTCCCAGTAGCGGTCACGCGTCTGACGTCACTCCCGTCCCCGGTAGCATCCCCACGTCTGACGTCACTCACGTCCACGGCAGCGGTCACACGTCTGACGTCACTCACATCCCCGGTAGCAATCCCTCGCCGGCTGCCAGAAATGCCAACGCAGAACGTGACTGGTGCCGCTGTACAATGCACGAAGCAGCACAGGACACAGGCCCAACACGCATGGCTGCCACACCTGGTCGTCATGCTGCGGACCAGTCACACACTGGACAGGTTTCAGACGTCCAGTGGCACTTGCCGACCTCAGCGCTGGAGGACCGAGTCTGGTGCCTCGCATTCTACCCGATGCTCAATATGAGATGGGTATGCAACATAGGGCAGTTGGCACAAGCACAGGCAAGCACAGAAGACAAGACATTTGCTTTTCACTCAACCTGGACTGTCTGTGAATTACAACTGACACATTCTTGACAAGTGCAGGCTGTAACATGATGAGTAATCAACTCACAGTCCCGTCTTTCAGGCCACAGCTCAGGGGAAGCTCGGTCCAGAGATTCAGAGCTTTGCAGTGATGCCTCCATTTCATTGCCTAAGGGCACTGTGCAGTTTTCTGAAAAAAATAACGCATCTAAGTTAGCCTATAGAGCACATCAGGCTCCACAGATGAGTGTGCACAACAGATTTTGCCAGTGCCACATCTTGGCACACTGCTTCTCATTGTGCACTGAATGCTCAGCAGGTAATCAAAATGGTGCACAAATTCTCACATTTAACATATTTAGCTTATTTCATTCTGTAAAAGTGAAGAGAACATCCCCTTTTAATTTCAAGAGCTCTCCCTTGAGTTAAGCTGTAGAAATAGTAGCATGGTTCAGGAGTGATGGCAGGATCTGATGTGGTGGTAACTTTTCTTGTGAATCAGGGGTGCTAGATACTGGCAGGTAACACAGTAAAAGGAGCTAAATTAGTAATGACAGCACTAAGCTTTGTTGCCAATGCAGCCAGTGAGCCAGTGCCAGTGCCAGTGCAGCGATTGAGCCAGTGCAGGAAACTTTTAAATGCTGCTGAGTACAGGTCAGTGACTGCTCAGTGCATGTCGGCTGGTACTTGTACCACTTGATTGCTTTACAAATAACAGATGCAGTACCAACACCAGAAACTCTGCTTCTGACTGGTAGGAATTTACAGAAATAGGATGCCATCACCCATCTCATGAGAAATATAACACCTCCACATCCACATTTGATAGCTTTAGTTGCAACAACCACAGCACACAATTTCAGGCAAAAAACATCCATCACCATAGCTTTTATTAGTTTGCTTTTTTTCCTCACAGCTTTTTCACCATAGCACAACAATCCTGATTTGCTCTGACAGTAATCATAACTTCAGCACTTGCACCCAATGCAGGCTCTCCAGTGTCCAGACTTTCCATCTAACAGCATAATGGATGCCAGAGAGCAAACCACCTGTGCCTGAGTGTTGTGCTGTGCTGACAGGACTTGTAATGCACTGGCATCAGTGAATTGAAATACTCAGACAATTCTAAAAATCTCTAATGGCATTATCTGTAAATCACAGTGGACATAAAGGGAGAGAAGGATTCTGATGGTGCATAACAGAAGTACAGTCAGAATGTTTTGGCCATGATAATATTATGCTCTGGTGTGGTCACATATGATGCTTAAAAATTAAAGCAAATTCAACTGCAAAAGTAAAAGGCTCCTTGCCTTCTCCCACAAGAAATTCTACACTATTTCTTGTTTCTAGCTCAATTATGACCAAGAAGATGCAACTTTTAGAGGGACATTATATTGAACACACCATAGCCAGGGGTTCTTTTTATCCAGAACAACCAGTGCATGACTTGGGGGATGGAGGGTTAAAACATGGCAAAAAATTAACATCATGTGTGGATGGATCCAATCCCCATTGGCATGCCCTGTACAGGATGATGCACTAGGAATAAAATGAACTTCAGTTTTTGCAAAATAGGTGATCTCCAGACCAGATCCAGGAAACAGAGCCTTTACACTTTGAATCCCATGTTTCTCAACAGTTTTCCAGACACTGGCAAAAAGTGTTCCACATGCAGCCAGTCAAACCACAAGGCAACAGGATGCACCTTAATGGGACAAGAGCAGCTTCACCCTTTATGAAACTGGATCACAAATTTCCTGTTACAGGCAGGTAGCTACCTGCCTACATTGGTGCATACCACCACTGGTACATAGTACATTTTATACAAGCATGATGTTCAGTACAATGTCGCATGGACAGCGCAGTGGATGGACTTTTTGCATTGGCAAAGGCTGATAAGCCACTTCATCCAAATTGCACCACCTCAAATGTGGTTGGAATGTTTACAAGCTAGAAAACGACATGCTTGTCAGCTAAATGCATGCTATTCAGCTTATGTCTTAAGCCTGGAGCAGGCAAAGGTCTTAGATTCACACAGCGTGCACGGCATCCACCGTCCTTACACGCCCTGCTCACGGCCCAACCCAACGGACCCCGGCCCGCACCATACGGGTTGATGGTAGCACAACCCAAGCCGCACATACCGCTCCCCTGCACGGCCGTATCATATACGATTTTGGCGCTCGCGTTCAGTGTGATATCACATTGTGGCATATTCGTGGTGGAATATACGTGAAAAGACTAGCAGCTGCCATATCACCTCCGTTTACGCGTAGAGCGACACGGATTTTAGTGTACTACGGGTAGTGTATTTATATCACCTACCAACGACTAAGCACTACTGAATGCAACCAACAGATCACATTCGTGTTTTCTTACGCGTTACGGATATCATCTTGGCGCTTTCAAAGTACTGCAAAACAGAAATAGATGTCCGGTGATTGGTATTGGCAGAGTCGTATAAAAGGCGTTTTGTGAGGTGGTGCTTAAAGGGGCGTGACTGCGACAGGTATGTAAAAAATACTGTTTGAGATGTAGGCATGCTACCGGGTATGGCTGCCCGGAGTTCCGCACGGTTTCGGGACCCTGTGGGTCCTTACTGTACGTGTGGGTCTGTGCCTTGTAGTTTTCTTGCTGTTAAGGTTGTGCAGAAATTGCAGGGATCCCCTCAGCAGTCTGCAAAAATTCGTCCACTGCATGGCATCAGTGTGTTAGACCTGACACATTCAAGATGTGTACTGATGTCAGGCAAGGCCAAAATGTGCTGCATTTTGGAGTTATTTTTACTTTAAAAGTATTTTGGGAGCATGTTTGTGTAAAATTTACCTTGAAAAATCTTAGCTCTGTGCAGCACTGGCTTTCCATGCACTGAAATCAGTAGTGACTGCAACAAATTCCCAAGTGCCTATATTCACTTCATGCATGCACTGAAACTGGTGTGGGGATGTCACTGCCATACCAGGTATGGTGTAACATGTACTGTTGGCAGTCTGGTCTACAGCTTTTAATTCAATGACTTCAAAATTGGCAATGAGATGATAATGAGAATAGCTACAACTATATATCTGATGACAGAATAGCTCACATTGATACATCTGATGTTATGTTCAAGGGAACTTGGGAAGATGTGGCACCCTTATCAAATTTTTGAAGACATTTGTTTGCATGTGAACAAATATTGCTATTTAAAGGTGGGCAGACTGACAATTATGTAGATTGAAAGCATGCTGTAGTGTGCATATTGCAAAGCATTCACATGGCTGTGGCATGTTAAAGTAGGCTTATCCTTCACAGTTTTTAGGTCCTCCACATGATAAATTTAGGTGTATGCTTCTGCAGTTATTCAGTCTTTTCCTGTTGAGTTAGTTAACAGCTACATATTGCAGGCAAAGTTTGTTCTCAGGACCTAGTCAAAATTCCTAAGTAAGGGTATCTATGGGTGTGTCCTATATGACCCATAAAAGTTCTTGATTATTTTGATATTCACTGACATAAACATAGAATGGAAATCTAGCCTGATGTGTCTCATTGTTAGTAATGAGAACCATATATTTATGATGATCATATTATGCATAAGTGTAGAGATTGCATTAATGTACATTGTTTATCATCATTGAGATGGTATTAGTGCATGCAATGTACTCACACAATAGTTCTGAGATGATGAAGCATACAATATTTCCAACTCATCTTCTACCACTCAGGCAGTATTCTGAATAATCTGGAGATGTCCTATTGGTCACTCCTTACCAAACCAGGGGTGGGTGTGGCCCCTCCAGGCTTTTGAAGGCATCTGGAACTGGAAAAAATTGGTTAGCAACATCCAAGGCATTTTGCATCTGACATGAAAGGCTTAAGGTTTTACCTCATCAGTTTACTGACCTTTGACTTGGTTGGTTCGCAAAGCTGTGCATGACAAAAAGCAGGGTATTGGCTTAATACTTTTGTGGCATAGTGCTTGCCAGACCTTGTCCAGTAGCCCTGAAAATATGATGCTGTTTTGTCATATCTGTCATCGTTGTCCATGAAGTGTGCTAAGGTCATATCGGGTCAACCCTATTGCGTTGAAATACAGATACTTGTGAAATTTGCCTCCAAGTTGCTCATATTAAGCCATTTTGGCTGATGTGTGTCTGTGCCAATGTAAAATTTATATAGGATGGTTTTGATGTCAGAACCTTTTAGAAACCACCCTTAAGTCTACTAGCAAACCTTCACAGTGGCAAGAAGTAATACTGTGAGAACTCAAGAGCATAGTTGGCCTTTACCTGGGTGGCCCAGGTTCAATTTGCAGCAGGCACTTTGGCCTCCAGGTGGTTATATGGTCAATATGACAACTACAGTTGCCAGCACTTCAGAAGTGGTTTTGAGGTGCACATCTTTGCAGTGTTTTTTCTGGATTATTGCTAATGAATGCAGTGATCATATAAGCTCTCAGAGGTTATAGCACCAGCCATGAGTTGAACCTGAGCCTCACACTTTGAAGCTGAGCACACTCCTAGCTAAGCTTTAGTGATCTGATAGTGCACTGATCATTACAGTACCCTACATCCATGGTGACAGCTGGGAATCAAACCCAGTCACTCATCTTGGAGCCCAGGCCTCCCACATGGAAGCCAAGTGTAACTTATGGAATGAAAAGTCATGCAGGGTCACAGCCATGGAATGTCAAAAGTCTCCACCTGATAGGACAGCTGTAAAATATGCAAAGCAAGGGCAGCACTAAAGCTGTAGATCACACGCAGTGTTAATGCTTCCTTTTTGGACCTGTGCTCGGGCCTGCGGAGCGTGCAATCGGCGAGGGGTTGTGCCGGTGGCCGTCAACATTGCGGAAGGTCGCGTTACGAGACCGGTGAAGCTGTTGAGGGTGAACTGGCGCTCCACACCTCACCGGGCCATGTGGACACAAGGACTGCGTAGAAGCATCTTGCCACCAAGCCGTCGGTCATGGCAGTTCTCCTGCGAGGGCACGTGATCAGAGCCGCAAGACGACATCGGATGACCTCATGCGAGCTGTGTGGACTCATGACTGGTTGCGAAGCCCTAGCGTGCCCCTGAGACTCTGCCTTGTGCCTGCAGAAAGCCGGTCATCGTCACCGGCGCCGCCACCCGAACACCAATCGCCATCATTATCAAGAGCTGGCTGTGGCTAGCGTGCTACCTTCCGGCACCGCCACCCGAGCGGCCTCGTCGTTGTGATGCTGGTGACCCCGGACCAGGGCGCCGCGCTGGCGCGTCTCTCCGCCGCCGACGTCGCGCCGCTGGCTGAGCGGGCGGCGGCGCGGCTGGAGGGCGGCGCGCCGGCCGAGCCGCCGCCGTCCGACGCGCTGCTGGCCGTGCTCGCCGTGCTGCTGGCGGCGGCGCGCGCGCCGGCCACCGACACGGCGCTGGCACGGCTGCGCGCCGCACTGCTGGCCGCCGACGTGCCGCCGCAGGTGCTGGAGGCGCTGCTGGCGGCGGCCGGTCGGCGGCGCGCGCCGCTGGCCGCCGCGCTGCTGGCCAGCGAGCGGCGGCCGCCGGCGCTGGCCGCGCTCTCCTGGCGGCTGGCGGCCGTGGTCGGCTCGCGCGCGCTGCCCGACCGGTTCGACCCGGAGCTGCTGCTGCGGCTGGCCGTGGACGGCGGCGAGGACGGAGGCCGCCTGCTGACGCTGCAGGCAGCGCCGGCCGACTTGCGGCGCGTCACGGCCGAACTGGAGCGAGCGCTCAGCCGGCGGCCGGCCACCGTGGCGGCGGCGGCGAAGGCGCACAGCGCCGGCCAGACGTGACGCGCGGCCGTCGCGAAGACGCGGCCTGACCACGCGCCGGCGAGTCGCGGCGGTGTGGGCCTGCCGCCGCCGGTCTCGCGTGCGGACCGGTGTCGCTGCGTGATCTCTCGCTCCCGGGGGCGGCAGGTGCGGGGCCTGGTTTGTGGTGCCGCGAGATATGTCACGCGAGCCGGGCGCGGGGATTGCGTCCGGGGATTTGACTCATCTTCTGTACGCATTTTGTGGGGTGTAGTGACGTGTTGCAAAGCGACCGGCTGCGGACGGAGGACTGGGAGTGCTGTAGACCAGCATTCCCATGCGCTGGGTAGCAGCGCGTGCGGCATGGGCGATGGGTGCCTGTTCACTGAAATCGACCGGCTGAGAGGTGTGAAAGCGATGTTGAACCGAACATCTGCGGCTTATAACCGGTCGCGGATGGGCACGAGGCGCGTGGCTGAGATCACCGAAGAACGCCCTAGGATTGCAGCTCGTGCCAACTAACGTTGTGGGGCCACCTGTGCTGTATTTCGGCAGTATCTTCGCGAATGAGGCGAACATCACGTGGCGGTTGTTTCCTGCGAGCGGAAGATGTTGTCGATATAATCTGTTCTGAAGTAGGCCAGGCCATCTGATGTGAAGTGTGGGGATAGCTGTATGTGCCTCGCCGCTGCGTGACAGCCGATTGTGATGGATGTTAGACTCGAACTTCTGTCAAGAGTCTCCCTACTTAGCTAATGTTGTGTGTCTTCGAAATGAAAATGTTTGTTAATGTGCTGTGACTATGAATGTTGCGGATGCATAGTACGCGTGCTAACCTACTGTTCACTGAATGATTGCAATAGACGAATTTATGCCTACGCTATCTAGAGCCCCAACAGTATGCGATGGTATTAACCTCCTCCCGGCCGGGGTCTGCGACAATCGCGTCCGGCCGGGGGGGGGGGGGGGGGGGTAACTTCCTCTGGAACCTCCAGCTTCTAGACGCCGGATCAGACAAAATATGCCGTTGTGAAGGTCTCGTCAAACTATAAATAAATCACCAAGTTTTTGCGTCAGGTAAAGTGTGAGGTCACCAGAGGTCATGAAAGATAAAAAAGAAACGGTCGTTCTGATTGATGTTAAAGCCTATGTTACGCGTCAAGAAAGGCAATGAGAGCACGGAAATAAGCGTTTAGACTGGGAAGTACATTCTGACCACTTCTGTTCCTACATGAGTGTCAGGCCAGATCAGGTTACGGCTCAAAGTTTGGTTACTAGTAGCCTACAAGGATGGTGTTTTTTATTACTGGGGTGTTTGCGTCTGAACAAGTTTGTTGTGAAGTGCTGCTGTGCTACAAAAGCACCGCAGACACAAAAATACCATGCCAAATCAGTCAAAAAAGACTGACCTTGAGGCCATCTGAAGTCAACTTAGGTCAAATACATGAGCCATCCAAATGCGGAAAAGTGCTGACCGGATCCATGTAGCCAGTACAATGTTTGCTTTTTCTGTCGCCATAAATAGCGCATGAACACCTTCAGGTACCCAAGATCGCAAGTATGCATAGTCCCCTCGACGCTCGGCAACGAATTCGTAACAGAATGAGAACAGGCACGTTGGCACATGAAATTATACGTCATCAGCTTTACAAACACTGTAAGGTGCTTACACGTGTCGCTCTCGTTCATCTAACCCGTCCGCTACAAAGGTCATTAGTCTCTCAAACTGTCAACGGAGGTCATTGGCATTGGATGTCCTCAAATGGACTTGCACGTCCTCACATGACCTATATCGGCATCATTATGCATTGCAATGATAGTACACGTTTTCGCTAGAGTATACCACTTATGCGTCCAAAATTACCCAATGAAATTGCCTACTTTACGCTCAGCATGTGTTTTGCCGAATGTACCCATGGAATTAGGCTATGACATGGACCAAGGTCATGTGCTCTGTGGTCGTATGATGGTTGTGCATGTGTGTTAGTAGTCTTTACCCCATATGCAAACACCAAAAAATCACAAAAACACGTGCAAATTTGCGTTATTTACGAAAGATAGCAAATTTTGCCTGCTTTGCCTCATATCGCTTTGTCTTTTCCGAAAAAAATCTGAAAGGTACAAACTGTAGGTACTAGTCATGTTCTACTACAATAGAAAGTTTGAAAATGACAATTGACTGCAACAAAGTAGTGCGTGGTCAGTTTTTTAGAGGTTGACCTCTTTGACCTGATTTAGGTCACTGGTTTTGTTAGAGTAAAAGCTCAAATTTGCTCAAAGAATGCCAAATTGGTGGATGAGCAGGTAGTGATAATTTGGCACTGCTGCGGTCGTTTTTGACCTGTGCTCGAAAAACCTTGGGGAGAATCAACCCCGGCCGCGCGCGGATTAAGGCATGTCACTATCATCAGTGCATCGCGTCTTCGACGTCGTTGGTATTTGGATTTGCTTAGCTAGCCACAGTGACTATTGGTGAAGCGCTCTGGGTTTTGGGAACGGAAGCGTAGAAGTCTGTACTGAAGCTGTTATTTGTTGCTTTCTCTTCCCAGCAAGGCCGGCTCCAACTACGACTTGCACGTTTTGGTTGATTCAAACTTGTTTTCTGAGCGGCACAATTTTGAGTCGACTCTGCTTCTCCCAACTCTATCTGGTCAATTACGGAATCAATTCTGGTGGTTTCATTTTCAGTGACAACAGTACAGAACAAATCGATGTGTGCTCTACGTATAAGCCCGCACGGGACGTATATGTCAACAATGAGACGGTAGTATACAGATTGTTCGTTTATTGTGAGACAGCAGCATTTTGTTTGTTTTATTTCCTGGAAATAGGAGGAGCCGGAATGATAAATGCTGTAATTATATGCATGCCATTGTGTGGTGGTCCGACCAATACTCATACCTCAATTTACACTCGTTTGCTGTTCTTTTTTTGCGCGCATGTAAAAAAATTCTCTCTCTCTCTCTCTCTCTCTCTCTCTCTCTCTCTCTCTCTCTCTCTCTCTCTCTCTCTCTCTCTCTCATCTCTCTCTCTCTCTCTCTCTCCTCTCTCTCTCTCTCTCTCTCTCTCTCTCTCTCTCTCTCTCTCTCTCTATCTCTCTCTCTCTCTCTCTCTCTCTCTCTCTCCTTCTCTCTCTCTCTCTCTCTCTCTCTCTCTCTCTCTCTCTCTCGCTCTCGCTCTCGCTCTCGCTCTCGCTCTCGCTCTCGCTCTCGCTCTCGCTCTCGCTCTCGCTCTCGCTCTCGCTCTCGCTCTCGCTCTCGCTCTCGCTCTCGCTCTCGCTCTCGCTCTCGCTCTCGCTCTCCTCTCTCTCTCTCTCTTTTTTTTGCCGCAATCTACAAGAAGCGACTTGTGTCTCATTATCGTGGAGATAAGAAATGTCAGCACAAGCGACTTGACCCGTCTCGAAGTTGGCGCAGAACGACCGCTTCCTCGCCCTCCCCCCTCCCTCTCCACTGCCTCCTCTTCATAGCACTTGACCGTTACAGCCACCGCCGTCGCTGGCTGATCATGCCGGAGCACCGAGTGAAGCTCGTGCTGCAGCAATGCACCTCGGCCCAGCTGACGCTCGCCTTGCCGTCTCACGCCACGGACCCGGCGGCAGGGGACGGTGTACTCGACGAGTGCGGCGTACCTGACCCGGATGGCGTCATTAGGGTATGTAGGCTGGGGTCGGGTGGGGCGGGGCACAGTCCAGTGGCCCTCCGACCGCTGCGGCGCTCTCCGATAGACGCAGAATGGCCTCAGTGATTGCGGCAGCTTTAACGATATTGGTTATATTACCGTGGGGTAGTTATTAAATGCGTTCTGTTTTGCAAAGACATTCAGAAAACGCTGTCGTAAAAAGTGGAAAGCGAGCTCAATCTGAAACGCAGCTTAACGTGACGGCGTCACGGGTGACCGGTGGGGTACTCTGTCATGGCCTCGGTGTGAACGGAAGCGATCTCCGACGAGCACCGCACCGCCTGGCGTGTCCCGCTCGGGCCGTTTGTGTGTCGGGCGTCGTTACTGCCGGTTACGCAACACCGCGGCGGGTGGCGATGCGCTTGAAGTGGTCGCAGTCTTTTTAGGTTGTCTGCTATCGTGATGGTCTGCTATCTAGTCGTGATGGTCCGCACTTGCGGTAAACACGACTTTACTTAGCGGTGGGCAGTTTGCGATGACCTTCAGCCCCCGGCGGCGTGCTGCGCAGCCGCTTCAAGATTCCGAGCAGCGGGCCGCTAAAAGGGCCGCTACAGATTCCTTCCTTAAATCATGCTCTCTTGGGCCCGACTGATGGGAGTTCGAACAGCCGTTGTTCGTCCCCTCCAGCGCCATGTCGCTGGCTCGACCATCGCCGACGGGTGGCAGGGGTGTAGAGCTCGTTGATCGGCGTCCGTATGTTATGGGTATAGGGACAAAGGGGAGGCAAGCGGGCCACCCCCCTCCCACTGTTGAACGTAGGACAGGACAGCGGTGTTAACTGGGCTCCTCCTTTACAGATTTACTTTGCATTCAGCTTACTTTTGTGCTACCGTAAACATGCATGCTGATTTACTTCGCCAGCCACTTGCCGGGGTATGATGTAACTTTTGAAAAATTACCGCCATTACGCTATCTGAATAAATAACGTGTCATCACCTGAAACCATAGATTTCGCCGGCGTTTGCCAGAGGCATCATTGTTATGCTATTTGTCTGACCGACGTATCATTTTGAGGCATTTTATGAAAGGTTGGAAGAAAATTGGGCATTGCATGAACGGTCTCACCTAACCAAGCACAACTTATGCTTTGTGTCCGTTTTGTGTGCCATTAAATTAAGCCGTCAGTGCTGTTCATTGTGTTCTCACCTTATAGGATGTCCTTAATTACAATAAGTGCTCATACGTCAGCCATGTGGTACCCAATAGTTTCACACGAGCGTGCCGGCATGTTGAAGCATGTACCGGCAACCACTTGTGGCCAGTGGTGACGATCAGAGAGTCATGGGTTTGTGGGAAGCATTTCTGAGCGGTTCTGGCTCAGGGACGGAGGTTTACCAGGTGCGTTTGTCGGGCAGGGCTAAAACAGTGTAGCACCATGCACTTTAGCCTCTGTTCAGCGCGTGCAATACGTTTGTCTATATGTCACGATTGGGCGCACGATGCCCACGAATACACTTTGACAAATGGTGAAAGTTTGTCAGTTCCACGCAATCAAACTTTTAGAGAAGAAGGTTGTCACCTTTATTGAGTGTTGCTTGTGTGGAGCCAAAAAAATACCGGGCATTGTTTTTTGTAAATGCATAGGCGTTTTTTTAGTTTTTAAGTTCATTCCAAATGGCTTGCAGGCCGAAATGTTCGAGATTATCGGTTAGCCCATTTCGTCCGAAAATTTTGCTCGCAGTCCCCCGGGAAGCCGTTTACGCGTCACCAAATGCATGGACACGATCACGCCATATAATCGTGGAGACTCTTCCGCCTCCCGCTAGCTCGCATCCGCCAGGCCAAACAGACAGCTACCTCATGAATTCAACCCGGGGTACCTACCGCATCCTAGAGTGGGAGAGTGTAAGTACAATTATGTGGGTAATATACACCCCAATGATCAACCACCAAATCACAAGTTTGTGACGAGCGGCAACTACATGCTCGACACCCGTGAAGCTAGTGACATTGGTTTTGTCCTGCAAGGCGAAAGTTCAATGACAACTGTTGATCATTTCATTGAATATTAAGCATAAAACGGCTATCTGAAGCGTTTTGCACACTGATCAGCCTCTATATATATATATATATATATATTCTGCAGTCAAATGAGTTGCTAGTGGTGATTATAGAAGGTGCCCGTTAGAAGGCCTTTCATACCTATAAATTATTTGCTCGCAGTGTCTCTTCGTCCGTCCCATTCTGCGTTGCGTCTTGCCTGGGCCGAATGGTTGGACAAGACGTGCGGGCGCACGAGGTGGTTTTGCACAGGAAGCTCACGATCCACTGCGGTCCGGGGTTCGGGCACGTGCCGGGCGATTCATTCTAGGCCCGTTGGTTTCGCACGGGTGGCCTGAAAATGAACCCACGACAAGGCCGATTAGCAGCCAGGAGAGACCGTGGTCGCATTCCGGTAACCAACGGTCGGGCGATAAGAAATTGGCACATCTCTGTAGAAAATTGAAACGGGAATCGCGTTGTGCCAGATATGCGGTCATACGTCACACCTGTCACGTGAAGAGTAGCGGTTGAGGGGAGTGCACCACATTTGCGCGGGGTTTTGAAATGAAATGACTTGAAGACCATCCAGTTCACAGCCTTGTCCGTCTTAAGACCTTAACCCGTCTAGTTTCTGAGCTGCACACCAGCGAAGATGCACAGACTGTTTCGCGGACACTATTTCAAAGTCACCCAGGCATCCATGATGTCTTCATAACGTCATTCAAATCCTGCCATCCCATTGGCCATGCGGCGATCAAGGCTCATAAGAATGCAATTTCAAGTCACTCATATCTTGCGTTCATGGGCACGATTTCCAGATGTAAGGGCCGTCAATTGGCTCTCAATCGATGTTGCGCAAGGTGCGGTGACGTAATTAAACAATGACGTGCTGAGGGGCATGTCTACTGAACATAGAAATTGTTATACCTAAAGCAGTCTTTTCCACCTAAAGTATACTGATAGTTATAGCACTTCCTTTAAGACGGCATTGTCCGTTTTTCCCGTTGTATACCACATCTCGGCAGCCAAAGCGATAGAAGCGTGGACATCATTTCAAAGCGTCGGTCAACGTACCGTCTGCAATTGAAGGGAATGCTCCATATTTCAAGATGTTGGAGCAAGCATCAGATGTGATAAAATAAACTCACGTATAGGTATTGGTTTACTTTTAAATGGAAAAGATTGCTCTAGACAGCACAATTTCTCTGTTTAGTAAATATGGTCCTTAATACGCAATCGTTTAATTACGTCATCGTACCTTGAACAACAATGATTGAGAGCGAATTGAAGGCCGGTTTATACGGAAATCGTGCTCACAAACGCCACATATAAACGACTCGACAATGACGTTTTTCTTGACCTTGATCGCCGCAGGGCCAATGAAATGGCGGGATATGTCAGGACGTTATGAATGCCAAGATGGGTTTATAAGACTCTTCCCGAAATGCTCTGCCCATTTTCGCGGGTGTTTGGCTCAGAAACTAGAGGAGCTTAGGTCTTAAGAAGGGCAGGGTTGTGAACAGCACCGAAAGGTGTTCAAGATGGCTATTATTTCAGCTTAAAACCCCATACAGATATGGAACATTCCCTTTAATGTGGTTAACGCGTCTGCGTTAACCACCGCGCGTCTGGGACACCAGAGGTACGGGGTTCGAATCCGCGCGGTGCCCGCCCTTCCTGCCAGGATGAGAGGCAGGCGACGCCATATAGCCTCAGCAGCTGAGTGCGTCGTAAATTCGCAATGACAACAACATAGCCCTTTAATGCAACCAACACGAGTTTATGCGACGCACGGCTGCGCCAGAAATCGTCGGACAAGCCGGGAATGTCAGCGTTCCGCCAAACGGCGCCGAATACATCACTGTCGCTGAAACTGTAGCCAGGCTTGTGGCAGATCCTTGATCACCGTATGAACCGTTTCATTGCCTGTATTTTCCACGCATTTATATGCATGCCATTCTGTGTACTCTTCACTCTAAACAGTCAGCTTTACATAAATAGTTGCAAGGCCACATTTTTGCGCAGTCAAAATGCCAGTGGTTGATCACTCAGCCGCCGCCGCCGAGCACTCGAAGTAAAGCAACCAAATGCGCACGTGTCAAATGCAGTTATTCAGCTTTAGTTCATGCATTCGCTACAGCGCGAACGATCGAATGCATTGCTCGAACCCATTGCTTTGAGAAATGTCGGAGAAACCACTCACATCGAGTGAAGAATAATTTGCAATGGATGTGATAGACCAGGAAATGCAGTCATTGTTAGCAAAACCCACTGCTGTGGCAGAACAGCACTCCCAGTGTGTTCACAGGGTGTGCTGTGGAGTCACTGCAGTGTCTTAGTAAGCAGATCGTGGACTTATTACATGAAAATACCTCAAATGCGTTTAGATAATTTCTTTTACTGCTTTGGTGTGCTTGGTCACCTTCGATGCATGGCTATGTGGCGCGAATCGGTAACCGCAGTGGCAGGCTGGGACACAGAATATCGGAAAGAAGGGCCTTCATTCTGTGACTTGCTTTTTACTGGAGAAACCCTGGTTTCATACCTTTTGTCACTTTGTTCTTGGCCGAAAGTAGTTGAAGTTTTATAATGTGTTTCTGCTCGACATGCTGCGACCGAACTTACCCCTTTCAAAGCAGTCGGAGAAGTCCAGGCTCAAGATTTCAAGTGCACTGTTGGCCATTAATTCGAATTCCCAGCGAGTGGATCAAAATGTGAACACAAATGTCTGCCCGCTCGTGGAATTTGCCTCCCCAGTGGAAAGGAATGTTAAAGCGAACAAATTATTTTAGGAAACTGGTTAGTCTGTTTTTGTAAATGGTAAACACAGCTATACCATTTACTGAATGGCATAGCTGAGTCGATTAGGTAAGATTGTGCACCAGTAGAAAACAGCTTTAAGTGTATATCAGATATAGCAACTAGGACATTTACGCTTCTCCCAATTTGTTATGTGAATTAAAGCGTACATGGTCCTCCATCCTCCATCTCCCCCCCCCCCCCCCCCCGGCCGCCGGGCTTGCCTCCCAAGAAGTGTTTCTCAAGTACCCTGAGCCAGCCTTCCATTTCTTGAAACGGTCTTATGCACATGCCGTATGTGAATACAGAGGAGTGAATAGGCACGGATGTGAGCAACAGAGGAGCGAATAGGCACGGATGTGAGCAACAGAGAAGTGAATGTACACGGATCTGAGCATGTGTTGCCGCCGCCGGAGACAGACTGATGTGGGCGTGGTCCCACTGACACCCGCACATCCCGTGCGATCCCAGAGACCGCTGTGGTCGACGTCTTCGAACAGTGTTGATTGGCGCCCTAGTGTGCCTTCAGTTCCTCGCTGACGTGTGTATGTGATGGTACTGACACGCTGGTCATTACACCCCCCCCCCCCCTCCCCACGCCGTCGTGACCTCTGACCTCCGCTCCACACCCGCACATCTGTGCACACGTGACTTGGTTACCTCCACCGAGGCCCCTCTTCTGTCGCCAGATCGGTCGCGGCATGGTGATATTCGTGTGCTTCCTGGCGGGCGCGGACGAGTCGGCCGCAGCGCGCGCCGCCGCCACCGCGCTCTCCGTGCGGCTGAGCGAGCCGGACGCAGCGCGACGGTGGCGCCGCGCCGCGGACGACCGTGACGGCGCTGCCCGGTGACCTGCTGGTGGTGCCGCAGGCCACCCTCGGCGGCCGGCTCAAGGGCAGCGCGTTTCAGTACCACGGCAACGTGGCCAAGGCGGCCGGCGCGCCGCTGTACGCGGCGTTCGTGGCCGCGCTGCGCGCCGGTGCTGCCGCCGCCGACGGCTGGACGGCGGCGGGGTGCCTGCTCCGCTGCGGGCGGTACGGCGCGCGCCAGGTGCTCAGCACCACCACCGACGGTCCGTTCACGCACGTGGTGGAGCTGTGACACCGGCGGTGTGGCGACGCTTGGAGCCGGGCTGCGGCCCAGCGGTGCCCAGCGGTCGTGCGTGCCGGCTGCGCGGCCGCAGTGGTTGCCAGTGGAGCCGAGGTGACGGTCGGGCACCGCGAGGTGTCGCGCCGGGCCGCTGACCTGGGCGGAAAGCTCGGCCGTTGCGAGCTCGACACTCAGGAGTTGTTGGGATGAGTCGGGCCATGCGAGCGGCGGGTCAATACATGCCAAACGAGCCATGTTGACGTTGTCGCGAGAGATAATTGTTTGTCCACGTTTTCTGCGATCTGGGCATGTGGATAAGCTTTAGAGCTGAGTTTCCATTCTGGTTTTGAATCACGTGACCAAGAGATACGTCATTTATGTGGTCAAGTGGAACGTTGAATACATCTGGAGCGCGGCGCCACACACCGAATAGGGCAATTATAAGAAATCGAATCGAATCGAATTACGTAGAGCAAATCGGAAAGTAGGCATTCACGGCCGTACGTGCGTTGTGACCGCCGTGGGCACGTGCCCCTCTTATATCGAATTTTTGTGCATGCTTGAATGCGTGTGAGACCAAATTTCAACCCTGAATACATGGATGTGAATGCTACAATAGAGAGATCAAGAACACGCGATGTTGTTTAATGCTATGCAACAAATTTCGCGCGTCACGGCGCGCTTAACTTGGTTTCAGTGGAAACTCTGAGCTTTGCCCCTCACGCCGCGAAACCCTGCGCACGTCCCTGTGACTATTCCAATTCTGGCCTTTCTGGAAGCCTTTCACCCATAGCAGCTTCGTCCCAGGATATGGAGACTGATCGGACAATTTGCTTGTGCCTGTGTCTGGAGCCATCTCCTGTTGCTACAGAAAAGATGGCATCACCTCCTTCCCCTATCCACGACCTGGTTTGTGAGAACGACTGCCTTTTTCTGGACCGCATCTAGGCGGCTTTGTCCTTAGCAACGGCAGTGGTGCACGTTGGTCGTAGAGCGGTGCGCAGTGATGAAATTCAAGAACGCAGTTACAGTTGGCAAGTTGGATCTGCTGATTCTTGCAGCGAATAGCGCATTTTCGCACTGTTTCAATCTCTAGCTGCTGTTTTCGGCAATACTGTTCCGGCGCATTGTACGCAATTGTTTTCAGTCACTGAGGTAGCAGTGTTTACAGACCGCCACTTAACACGTCAGCTGTGGAGGCAAGCGCCTCCTTAACTGCCCAAAATGATTGTCGGTCGTGTAATTTTGCTATTCAAGGATAATGAGACACATGAATGACTTGGTAGAGGTGGGCAGCCTGAAGCTGAATGGTATGGCTGAGTCAAATACACAACATTGCGCGTCGGACACAAAAAACTGCGTATATACGTTAATGAGTGCATTGAATTCCCTCCGAAAGGTCTCATAGATGAAGTGCGGGCAAAGCCATTTGTTTGCCTCGCGGGTCATGTGTGGGTTCGGTCCATTGCTACGTTGGGTGACGGAGATATTGGATCCTCCATGGAAGTAAGGATTCGGTACTTTTAAAATTGCAATGGACCTGGCAACTTCCGTTTCCTTTGCCGCCAGCTACTCAACTGCAATTTGTTCTGCTATTACGCTGCTTTGCTACACTTTCACGCCACATACTCGCCTCTAAAAACAGACAGTAACGCTGCGGCGCACTGTGACGTTTACGAGTGACGGAACGAGCACCGTGATGGTGCGCCACCTAAACTCACATCAGACGTCACTGGTCCAAAGAAGTCAAGTCACGTTGTACGTTAGGTCAACAAATGCGCTGCCCTCCTCGCGTCATTTCAGAATGATCCAGTAAAACCCATGCAATCGGGTAATCATTTATTTGAAAATCGGATTCACGTGGACAAGAAGACTATTCCCAGTTTTGACCTTCGAGTGGAAGGGTACGCCTGAAGTTTATTCTCTATTTGCATGCACAACATCTAGGAAAAGGCATCAGTGGTCTCATCACGCCTACAGCGTCCTTGCTGTATCGCTCTCTGCTCCTACAGATTCCCAGGCCGGCGATCCGCCCTCGTGCTCCAATGTTATCTACATCCTTGTCGAGCTGATTCCTGATCCCAGGCGACCTCTGAGAACAGAGCGATAGACACACCGATAGCTTGTGAAGTCATGTGATAGAAGAAAGCGAACGAGGCAGCACGGCAGGAATGTAAAAAAAATGTTGGCAGCACGTCAAGCCTCAGGAGGCCATTGAGAACCGCACGTCGATTACGTTTGAACTGGGTCTTTACGCTTTTCACTTCCTTGTTTTCTGTCACGCATGTAGCTTGTTGTGAACAGCTCACGGCACCTTTGAACAGGGGTGTAATAAAGCATCGCATGTGATGTCAACGCTGCACGCTCATTTTGGCATTGGCATCACGGTGAACGAAACTAGTGGATAGTTTTACCGAGCTATTTTGTTCAACACAGTCTGCACCAAGCGGGCAAAAGTTGTGTACCCAACCATCAGGCATCCTGCTTCACTTTCTCTCCGAAACCGCAATCATTTTACACCAAAAGCTTACTAGAAGATGCTGAAGTTGCAGCGAGCAGACGACAGTGCAGTCTGCCCATAGCGTCAATGGGAAACGCCCAGGGCCACAGTGGCTTCACGTCATGCCGCATACACGGCAGTAGCCTGGTCAGTTTGTCACAGCAGGCGCTCGCACCTCTGAGTGAGAGCGTGCTGTCAGGGTTAAAGGCGAATGCTTGATCAATCTGATGAATTCGCAACTCCTGGACGATGAGCTGGTCTGAGTGGCGGCCTTGGGTCAGCTGTTTTGTTTACCTGGTCGTTGATTCTTGAGTTTGGCAGCGCAGGCCGTTACTTCAGGTGTTGCACCTCAGTTCCCATCAACACCGCTGTAGGCTAGGCGCGCTTAATGCAAAAGCCGTAGTTTTGCATTGCACCTCGCAGTACCTTGCAAGCAGATGATTTGGTCCGCTGCTTGGTGGCTCCTCTTCGTCAGCGATCGCAGGGGAGCCAGGATCACTCCCGGCAGGGATTTTGTTTGCTCTCTTCACTGCTGTATTGGTCCACGTCACTGTATGTCCGGTAGACCAGCAGACTGAACAGAAGCATCTCAACCGATAAGACAATGCTCTCCACGACTGCCGAAAGACAAGTCATGCAGTTACCCACTCCGTTCATGTCATACAGGCCGGTATGTGTCATGTACAGTGCTGACGTCACTAAACCACGCCCTCTGACCCGACAGCTGCTCCCTCCATTGAGGCCAGTTAGGACTTTAACAAAAGGTTATCGCATCATGTAGCTTGTGCCGCGTGCATCACTTGGAATGGTGTATTAAAATAGCAGTCCACAGACACAGGCCTACACTCACACGCGCGCGCGCGTGTGACGTCACACACACACACACACACACACACACACACACACACACACACACACACACACACACACACACACACACACACACACACACACACACACGCTCGCGCGCACCACGCACGCACGCACACACACACACACACACGCGCGCGCGCGCACCACGCACGCACGCACGCACGCACGCACGCACGCACGCACGCACACACAGAGAGAACGCTTGTGTTCCTGCTTGTTGCGACCCCGAACAAATTGAAGGCGTGCGCTTACTGCCTGCGTAGACCCACGGCGACGTTGAAGAGATGCAGGTCTTCGTGCTGAACATGAAGGCTTTGTTGAATATCAGTATTTGTGGCTTACTCGTGAAGACTGCCAGTTTTAGCACTAGGGATGGAACCTGGAAGAAACGTTTCGTGAACAACTTGCATTGAGATAAAAATGATACTGTACATAGCATGCAGGGGGCTTTGCCATAAGTATTTTCCGCAGGCCGTCAAGTGGCGGGTAGGTGAAGTAACACTGCCACTTGGCAGATCTGTGGATGTGTGTATGGCACGGCATGAACTTAGCTTGCATGTAGAGGTAGCAAATTATACTTTATTGCTTCATTTTGACGAAATTTATGACCAATCTTCTTCATTAACGTCATATTGCCGAAACGTATCTCTCGCATAGCATCAAAAACTGGTTCTGTTGAAAGGTCCTGGCAAATCAACGCAATCGGCATAAGCTTGGCGGCAAAGTCGAGACTTAACTCGAGTATTTCGGGTCTCTAAGTCACGGCTGCCAGAGGCGTCGATTTTTTGTTGCAAAAGATCGGGAAGCAGTTGGCTGGCCGATGACCTAACTACTCCCATGTTTGACTACGGATTTGACCCAGAATGTTGACGAGAGGTAAGTTTTCTTTATACTTTCGCATAATTTGACAAATATCATTTAATTTAAGCTCATAGTAGTTACGTAGAGGCGAATCCAAAGGGAGAGGGTCACAGCAGGCAAGCTTATTGGAAAGAAAAAGCGCCCCTCTAGAGGCCGCTGTGCGCCAAAACATTCGTTTTATGGCGGCCACTTGGGACGGCGCGTCTTTTTGGTCATGGGGGCGGGGACGAGCTCGCCCATGAAGGGCTTAGGTCATCCTCGCACTCCCGAATTTTTCGATCAAACCTCTCAAACCTTCGCGTGTCTTATGGCCCTACATGTGAGAAGCTTGTTCCTACGGTTACCCGCTCAGATGTGGCTATTTTTAGCTGGCGTTTTCTCAGCGGGCAAACGCGACTTTGTATTACCGTGGGAGGGAATACTTTAGTGCTGGTAGGTGCACTGCTACATGCGACGAACATGCGTTTTTATGTTCCCTTGGGTCGGTAAACATCCCGCTACATTATCCCTTACCCTGGTTGAGGTTAGGGGTCGATGCGACCCCAATTTAAATCATTTGAGGATATCTGCGGTATGTTGTGAAATCACGTCCAAACTTTCCGAAGCTCAAGGAACATTTATTGCGCGTGTTTTGGTATCAAGCAAGCATTCCTAGCTTTTCTGATTTCGGAGCAGGGGCACTTGATTTCGTCCAGAGATCATCAACAACGAACAGTCGGCTTCGTGTTGGTCTGGGCTCTGCGGGCCCATTTCCCAAGCAGGGACAAGGCAGGGCCTGCAGTTTACATTGGTCCGGGCTCCTGTATCATTCAGTGGTCCACCGGGCCCAACAGGGTAATCTGTGCCAACAAGAGAGCCTCGAGCCGGTCAGGGGAACATTAACTCAACAAGGACGGGGACGGACCCCCGATGACAGAGGTTCTCTTGCGTTGGTCGGGAACTCTGACAATGAAGAGAAACACGAGAACTCATGATGCATGATGCATGATGCACGAAAACTCATGATGCTCACATTGAGGCAATGGAAGGGTCCCGCGCCAGTTAGAACCCTCAGTACCAGACGGTGGGTCCTCCGACCCGATTTCAGCATGGGCCGGTTAAGCCGAACTGGAGTCTATGTGTCAATTATTTGACGACCTGCGGCGATCAGGGATGTTGTTGCGTCAATGACGATTCCTGTGTCGATCCGGAGTTAACCGCGCGGGTCAGAAGGCCTCCCGCCTCGGAGAGCGCACCAATGTGATATCATGTATCCGTCTAATGGCCTCCGAATCGGCCAGCGGATCCCGCCCCGTGTCACCAGAATGACAGCGGGAAGACGCACCGCGGTGGGATAGAATGGCTCTTCAGCCCTTGACCGGGAACAATAATGTGCCCGTAGTGTCCTTAAGGAAACCCTTTCCCGGAAAGAAAGAAGGGGTCTCATTAGTGCTGATCTGTGTGCCAAAATGAGTTCAAAAACGCGTAAGGCCATTCCATGTTTGCCTGAGAACGTGCATTCTTTTGCAGAATCAACTAGCGAAATATCAAAATGTTTGAGCCTGCGCGCCCGCAATCTCGGGAGTAAGCGCAGCGATGGGCCTAGTGGCGGTCTCCGTAACACCGAACGGCATTGACCACTGGAAGTAGCGCCAGACGACGGGGGCTGGGCGCGCGGGAAGTATTATCGTAAAACAATGTATCTGAATGTTCTTTCAAACTTAATTCGTACAGCTCAAAGGCTGGAGCAGGCGAATCTTTTTTAAAGCTTTGAGGTTGTGTTTTGTACAAATTAGGAATTACAGCAACACTAAAAATGGAGATTCTGCCTTCACTTTTTCATTTCCACAACCAGATGATAGCACGCACTGTTTCGCAGTGCTTTAAGGTTAGTCCGTTAGTATCCTCAATTTAACAATCGCACAGGTCAAATACACGCTCGGAATATTGTCTAAATATACAATTTTAAGTCCTAAAGCGTTTCAACGCACTTCTTTCGGATTTGTTATTATTTTTGGTCATCTGTTGGTCACGGCTTAGTGTTGGCTGCGAGGCAGACCCTGCGTGACCTATGGAGATTGGAACGCCTGTTGTCGAGGTTTTGCTGCGAAAATGTGCGAGCACGCATGCCCAAAACTATGTTGCATAGTTGTATTACTCGTCGATTCTGAGAGAACGTTGAAGATTTTCAGACCAGCATGCCTTGGTCATGTTGAAACAAATTGTTGACCAATTTTTATCTTCCATTTGCATTCGTGGGTTTCCTGATTTCTTTGCACAACCCAGATAAGAATTATGGCAAAGTTTCTGATTCCATCAGTTTCAAAAGACTACACTGGACCACTGTAAAATGAACAGCGCCGGCAATTTATTTCGCGAAGTCGTTTAACGCGTGATATTCTCAATTTATTGACTGGTGTTTATCATGCAGTTGCTCTTGGCTTTTGTTCCGGTTATAGTAGGTAAAAATGAAAGAATGAAAAATGTGCCCTCATCATCAAATAGGTCATATCCGGCGATATTTTCAGGGGGGGGGGGGGCTTTGACTATCAGGGGGCCCGTTTGTCAACATCGAGCCCCATCCTTGATGAGGCTCTGGCTGCGCGTCTGTAGGTGGGCCACCATATGCATCCCTATTATTGTATTGCTGTTACGCACCTAAGCTGTTCGTCAAATGGATGTGTGTCACATTATTTGAATATTTTTTTAAATTTTATGTGGGCCGGTTTTTCTTCTGCATTACAAAAACACGGCTACAACGGATCAACCTACAACATACGTTGCACGTAAGTGCGTAGTGACACTATTCTCTGCCATACGCGTCGATCTGCTTCTCACAGTCTGAAAGCTTCATGTAAACCCGAATGGGAAAATTCTCTGGAAAGTTGACAGAACGCCTCAAAGATATTTCAAAACGCATTGGTTCTGGGGCTTCGAATGAAGATAAAACTTCACAGTAGTATTGCCCTGCAAATTGTGAGGGATGTCAAAAATATTAACATTGTTTCTTTTAATATATGGCGATCGTTTATGGCTCGTCGAAGAGGGCCATCCGGCCCTTGCCTTGATGTGTCAGCCTGGTTACAGGGTGCACGAGTATTGTGACGGGCCCTTGCCTTGATGTGTCAGCCTGGTTACAGGGTGCACGAGTACTGTGACGGTACACGAGACGGTAAAGGTTTCTTTCGTGCAGTTGAGATTAGGACACGAGGGAAGATGGGTCCGTTGCACTGTCATTGCAATGCTGATATGGTGGATTCGGATACCTAGTAATAAATCATTTTCTTACTCGGAATTCGATTCAATTTGCGCCTCAACAACGTGTCACGTGCCAACGTGTCCCGACATGTCAACATGTCTCGACGCGAGATTGGCTGCGGTTGCGTGACCACGAGCCGGTGAGCAGCCAAAATGTCCGCAACACTTGGCAGCGGTCACAAAACTGCAGTCAAGAGCATATT